ACACACACACACACAACCCCGTGACAATATGCGTTTTGTACTGCTGTTACACAACACAAAACGCATAAAAAGGATTAGTTCTACGGAAAATTACCCTACAAATACAATATTCTACACTACTCTTACTGGCACAGGATAAAAAAAGGGGACATGCGCGAGTAACTTATTCGTGCGCAAATTTTCGTGCCCACTACCCGAAATGGCGCCCACCCCTATACTGTGACCCAAATGCATACATTTTATTTTTAGACGTCTCTAAGATCGTTTATTGACGCAGGCCTAAACTGACGTTATTGCTTTTGTTCCTTAATTCCACACCCTTTCCTGTCAACTTTTGCGCCTTTTTCGCATTTTCTCGATCATATATAGAGAAATGCTGCATGACCAGTAAATCAAGCCAAGTGACCCTTTTCCCACTCATGTGGACCGATACAACTCACAACCACCCGCCTCTGCGGGCAAAAAACATGTTTTTAAAAAGTTAATCCGATGAAATGAGTTGTCTCGGAAGCTTGGTGAACAGCATAAGCTGTGCCACACGTCCACAAAAGCAACAACAGGCTTACTAGCAGCTGCAGTTCAGCAATTCGCGTATCTTTCATATCGTTTTCTTCTTTCAGTTGAGCCACTTGCTGAAAGCAAATGAAATAAAGAAGTAGAAATGCAGTTCATACACCCAAATCGTAATAAAAGAAGTGCCAGCTTCTGCGGCTTCCATATGGATTCATTTATAGGCGCAGAGATAGCATTCTTGGAAAAACACAAGTAAATAAGCAAAAACAAGCCGCAGAACGACATATTTTAAGCATAAAAAACAGTTGCAAAAGTGTAGAGAACTGTAGCCAACTTCCCAATGAGAAATGAAAAAGTGATCCGCAAGAATATCGAACAAGGAGATCCGTATGCAAACAAGGGCTACACCTTTTCAAATCCAGCATTTTATTAATAATTCAGCTGCCGGGGAAGAAAAGTTTACATTTTGCAGCGAACCCATGAGATCAAGCCGTCTTTGGCGACATCGTGCTGCAGCTTCCTTATTTCGAAGACGCCTTTTGTCGCGTTTATCACGTTCTTCCTCACTCAATGTAACATGATCCTAAAACTAACACACTAAAAACGATGGAAAATCCAAAGAGCAAAAATATTAAAAGCCTAGACTGCTATAAGGAGGAGTACAAAAAGCATACATATTCTTCATATTCTTTCGGTCGTCGACCACCTCGTTTGCCAGCGACCGACGGCGGTCTTGTCATCGCATTACCCAAATAACCAGTACGTGTCTGATACGCTTGGGGCATATTAAGTGGACGATGCACTCCTGCAAACATATCGCACAACGCTCACCAAATAAGGCATTTGCGGTACACAACGTTAAACTTGCCAAACAACAAGTCTCATTAGATAAATTATTGAGACAATTTAATCCTGCAACGGTTAAAAGAGGCAACTTATCAACAACACATCTTCGCTTCCACACACTCAGGCTGATTCCATAAAGGCTATGCACGTGCACCTGCCGCGGGACACCGGCAGTCTATGACAATACAGCTGTACTCGGTCCTTGACTACACCTCAGTAATAAGGGTACCAGATGCTTGTGCATTCCTGGCCAGTACATGTAATATTTGTCAGTGACATTTAGCGAATATGCATGCAGTTACTATTTCGCTTGAGAAAGCAGGTTTCCAATAGCTCGAGAAAGTCGGGTTTCCATCGTAAGCATTTTCTCGATACTACCTCATCTTAGCAGTCCATGCTAGAATAACCAGATAACACACCTCGCTGAAAAATACTTTGATTCTATCCAAGTCAAGAAATTTGATCAAACTGTGAAAATTTGCTGTACTTCATCGACCTATCGGCGCATCAACTCGTTGGCAACCACAGGTGTTAACTGCCGATTTGGAAAAGGAGAAAAATCAGAAGAGGTGAAATGTGAATGCGGTAAACATAGGCGTAAGACAGATGGGACGACACACAAAACCTGGGCACATAATGCGATTTGTGGCTGAAACGGGATGCATAAAAGAGAGGTGGAATGTTCGCTCAGTGGCACAATAATTCGCTCACTGATGTAACAAAATTAAATTTGAATTGTGGCACAAAATTCCCCCAAAAAACGGGCAAAAGAGGAATTTTTAATTTGAAATAAAAAAGGACACCACACCGTCCGAGACAATGGTAGCCACTGCTGGTGCGAGATTGCGTTCAGCCACCCACAGATTCCCCTT